CTTCTTGATCCATTTTTTGTTTTTAGTCAAGATGTTGTCAGCGCGAACAAAGCTTTCTTCAAAGGTACACTCGTTGACTATGTGAGAAGCATCACCACACCGATAACAAACTCTTTTTCCATAATTCTTTCTTTTAATATTAGAACTTTGATTTCTTTTAAAAATCGAATTGAGGAATCTTGATCATTAGATTTGAAAACTCTTGCTTTAGTTCTGGACCAAGGAGTGCCATTGATGATGTGCTTAGATTCCATTTGTTCATGGGACATAGAAGAGAGGGATGAATCATATGAGGTAGAGACCTTTGATTGACCTATAAATTCAGTTTTGCTAACAGAACACTGAGGAAACATGCTGAGAATTTCGTTTACAGAATGAACTTCACCATTGGAGATGGGAAATTTAAGCAGGATCTTAGTGGAGGGCAAAACATACTCATGATGAGGAGGTTGAAGAGAAGGTTCAAGAGCAGATAAACGAGATATACATTTGGTATTACCATTTGAGTCAGTAGTACAATGATTATCAATCAGATTTTGATTTATGTAACAAGTATTGACAAATCTAGTTTAAAATCGTTCTCGATACTATCATCGTTATAAAAAGTTTGTTTAATCTCAACCCTTTTGATTAAAGAAACACAACCCTCAATATCACCACCAAGGATTTTCTCACACCGATCAGGAATTTGACCATTAATAATTCTCGTGACATTACAGTGGGAAAAAGCCCAATCATTTAAAATAAGCTTAATTCTTCTTGCATGATCAATAACTTTTTCCTTTTCAGCGTGAAGAAAATTATTGGTCGGTAAGATACAAGAGTTTTCCCTTTTTAAAAGAGAAAGGGATTTCTCAGAAAAAGATGGTTTTTCTTTAAGATTTTTCTACTCAAACATAAGAGAATATTTTTCTTTATTGGAGATAGAAATATCAAAACGTAAATTATCAAACATGGCAACCTTTTCAATATAATAGTAATTAACAACATTCTTTACCTGATACATGGAGGCTGAGTCCCAGTCCTGAGACTTAGAATCCTTGGCTGCTTGAGACTGGTCAGCGTCAAAAGTACTGATGTTATCCTTTGGTGCTTCAGTATGAGACTCGTTGATTTGAACCATGAGACACTTACCTTTTGAAGCTTCATCATCAGAAGGTCCTTCTCTATTGAAAGCGGTTGATAAGGTGTTCATTATCTCTTCTGCAGTTGAGCAGTTTTGAACCAAACGATAGACATGATATGGAAGAGAGTTTCCAATATCAAGCCTTACATTTAGTTCAAGATTTAGAACTCGTTTCTCTTCCTTGTTGTATCCCAGTACTGACTTCTGCTTTATCCCACTATCAGATGCATTATCATTGGATAACTGATGCATGGTGGTGGTGGTACCCTTGTTAATAACATCAAGCATGTCATAGTCCATGATCTCGAGAACATCCATAGCCTTTGATTTCCATGCATCAAATTTGAGTTTATCAAAAGGAGGGATCTTGCCAACAACAGATTATTTGGGATTAAAAGAAGTCGACATGATGACTTGAGTGTATCATAAGTCTACTCTTATACCAACTGAAGGTTTGTATCGGTCGAATACACTCAAGGATGAATAACAAAGAACGAATAAACAAAGCAAAGATTAAACTGAAGAACACGTACAATCATAAAGTTCCTTCACTAAGAAAGAAGGGTTCTCACCAAGAGAACGAGGTCACAAAGACGACATAAAGCATTACCTTAGGGTTTCACCCTAAGGTTTATTATATACGATTACAATAACTAATATCCCACTATTTTGGGGGCGCATACCTATCTAAGTAAAGGTCTGGTCCTAATCACTAAGATTACAGATCATATATCTGTTCTATATATACAACATATATCTGCCTAATATACAAAGATTACTTAAATTACGAAGTTCACATTGACGCTAATATACTTGGGTTGGCGATGGCATTGACGCTGGTGATCAGCGTGAAGTGTTTGACTTATCATATCATAAGGTGTGACCTTACATTTTATGTTTAGATTTCACACACGTTTTTTGAGAAAAAAAGGTTTACTCATGTTTTTTCTTTTTTGCACACGATCAGGTTTTGATAATTGAAACATAACAGAAAAAATAAGAGCTTGCAGGTCCTTTGACTCCACGGGGACAGGAAACAAAAAAAAGAGACAGAGACAGAAAGCATAAAAAGTTGTTGCCAAAAAAAGTATGGCAGCTTCTGTCACACAACTCCTTCTACACAAGAGAACGTTTTTCTCTGATTTGACTTCCTGTTGTCGTAGAACACACAGTAGAAAACAAATTCTTCACAGCAGAAAAAACACAGCAAAACACGCTTCTTCTATGCAGGTTTTGATCAAATTCTGTCCCACGAGCTGCTCTCTTCAATTACACAAACAGAAAAAAGAAAACCACACGATCTCTGATGCTCTGATACCAATTAAAAGCAATAAGAACTTAAAAGGAAAACAGAATAGTATCTTGCATAAACTCGCACACTTTTATTATTGAAGAAACTAGCTCAAAACTTCAATGCAATTGATTACAGGAACCTAACGAAAATCTATATATATACCGATCAAAACACATCAGAATATGTCTAGGAAACCTAATGGTAATCAATAAAACTTTCCTTATAATGCATTTCTTATTGCTCAAGGAAATACTAGGAATCCTTGGATGATACTTCAAGACTTAAACAACACTCCAAGTAAACCAAAATCTGGACCAGAACACGCCATTAGCCACATAGCCACATTTGTTCTCAGATAATTCACCAACATCAATAAAGACGGTACTTACAAAGTTCATGTTTAGATTACAACAAATTGGTTGATTAACCTCTAAATCAGAGATTATTGAGTTGTGAAGTCTGATATAACCGTTGACCTCATCGTTGCTATTGAGGAACTAAGTTATATAGTCCAATATGCTCCCTGACCATCTACAAAACGAGGTTTGTAGTTGCAATACTTAGGTGTTTGTTTTTACTGAGGCAAAAGGTCTATAGTATGCGGACCACATCTGCAAACTTCTACAGTAGAATAGGTGGACCAAACGTTTGTGGTCTGAAAGAAGAAGACTATTTTTTAACGTCTGCAAGCTGCCAAAATAAACTAAATTTTAAATAAACTTTTTTTTAACTTAAAATAGCTTTTCAATATTTTTATGACTTTATTATAATTAGCTAACAAATCTAGATCAAATTTTATATATTATTGTATAAAATTAAAATAAAATGGTACGAATTCACGGATATATTTGATAAAAAACAACAATGTTTTGGTCGCAAAGTTATACTTAAATATTGTAATTAGGGATTAGAGAATTTAATACATAAAATGGATGGAAATAACTTTGATTTTAAAATAAAAAATTTCATAATTTTTATGTTACTTTTATTCAATTAAATCAATTAAAAACTAATCGTAAATATTGTTCCAAAGAAATAGATAATACAAGATTATATATGTATATGTGTGTCTGTGTGTATATATATATATATATATATATATATATATATATATATATATATATATATATATCACAAAAAATATTAGACAATATTAGGATTATTTTCATACATGTATAAACAGTTCCAACTACTACTATTGTAATAAAACCATTACTTATAAATTTGTCACTAATGTCATGGTTGTGTCGTCGAACATTTTTTTTTTTTTTTTTTTGAGTAGTGTACTTTTTTTTTTCAAATTGTTTGTCAAAAAGATCTATGTTTTAATTTAAAAAAAAAAACAAAAGCTATATGAGTTTTTTTAGGCTAATAGATGTTAGAAGACTTTGGTCCGTATCTACACCAAGAAGAGGATGTAGAGACATTTTTAGGTCTACGGTTTTCTAAAAAACAAACAGACAAACAAACAAACAAACAAACACCACCTTAGTCTTAAGATTATCCACATTCATGACCATACCCAACTTACACATTAATTAAAATAATAATTTCTCTTTCATCATGGCCAACTGAGAGTAGCAACTTAGAACAATTTTGACCCTTGATATCAACCGGGTTGGTCACCATCTATATTTTTCATATTATTTTAATAGATTTTTTTTGTCTTTAGTGAGCAACTAGTTGTAATAGGATACCGATGGAAGTAGTCTAAGGAATCATGGTGTTGGGTAACAAGGTTGCCGTGCTCGGTTTTAAGGAGTTGCGTTCCGAAGTGGCAAAACTATACTGCTCAACCAAACCAAATGGTGACATCTTGGGTTTATAAGGCCCACGATCAGTCCTAAGTCAACTTTTGTCATTATAAACATCTTAATATGCGTTTGTAACCCTAAACAGAAAGAGTGTGTGATGATTCTTTATTCTATAAATCTAATAAAATCTCATTCTAGTTCGCTTATGGATTAACACAGTTACTCTAATCATATAAACAATGTAAATCAATGTGTTCCTATTTTTAGCATCTTTAATGTGTGTTTTCATCACATCTTATATCTAATATTTCTAATAGTTGTAATTCTGTGAAAGCCATTCGCAAGACGAGAAAAAATAAAGTTGAAAATGTTTGATCGTCGATTTTACTTTATTCTACCTTGTGTTTTATTGTGATAAATAGTTATGTTGTATATGGATGGGATTTTACTTCTATTCTTTCGGAATAATGTTTATAGGAATTGAAACTAGAGACAAATGATAGAAAATGCATGAAAACGAAGCTAACATATTACGAGGAAAGGTGTGCAAAAAAGAATTGCATTTCAAAGCTTACAAGGGAAAAAGACTATTTTCTCACTATCATTTGTTCATCATTGTACAAGTGCATCACATCCATGAAGAATCCAACCAAGATCATGATGTGTTTTTTATGAAGATACGGAATGCTAATCCATAAAGGACTAATTATGGTGAGGTTATGATGATATTAGATTGGTTTTTCTTGATTATTACTTTTATTCAGAACAAAGAATGTCTTGTTATGATGGTTTCACCATTGTTAAGCTTTTAGGTATTTATACAATATTTGTGTTTCTTTAAAAGTGTGTTGCTTTAATAGTTAACACATGTATTTCCAACTCATTATTCATCGTGAGCTCAATTAGTGTAGGAGTTAAAAGACAAATAATCAACTCACATACATTATACCCAAGAAATGGTAACGAACCTTAACATTATTTTTATTATAAAGGGACCGATATCTGATAACTGGAATACCTGAGTACTCATTTACTTGAAAGAAACCCCCAAAAAATGTCTTTAGAACATTTCAAAAATCTGTTCAAGAAAAAAATCAGAAAACCAAATTCAAATATTAATCAAGCAAGAAAAATCATTTGTTTGTATAAAAAAAATGAAAATATTCAAAAAGAATAACAAAAACTTACATTTATGGGCATTTCTGCAATCACAAGATTGCTGCTTTCCTCAATGGTTTTAAGTGTCACCACTTCTCCCCCAACAACCATGTTAATCACAATCCCATCTACATTATTCAAGAACATAACTTTAAGATATTATTTTTATATAATTATTAATTAATAAGCAAGATGTATTAATAAAAAAAAATATGGAAAAAACCTGTAGCCAAACAAGTTGTCATTCGCCTCATATATGTCTCCTGATAAATATCAAATATCGTTTATTAAACAGAATCTGTACAAAAAAAAACTAGTTTATATGATCATATCATGGTATAATTGTATAAAAGTACCTTTTTTGTTGGGAGTTCATAGTTTATAAGAACACTAGAACTAATAGATGATTCTCCTGAAGCAAGAAGAGGAAGACAAGCATCAGTTGCAACTATCATATGAGATTTCTGTTCTTCCTTTTCATCTCCAGATTGAATGGATGCTGAATTTTGGTTCCATTTTGTTGTTGCATAACGAAATTTATCTAGAATCAATGCACGTTCAGCTTCAGTAAGATCACTATACTGAGAAGAAAAGGTTCAAGAAATTATTGATCTTGAATGCAAACGTCTTAAGAGAAACAGTTCAATGAAATACCAGAGGTGTAACAGAGATGTAGGAGATGTTGGAGATGGAAGAACAAACAGCATCAAGCTCATCACGTGTGCTGCAACAAACCACCATTGGCAGCCATGGACGACGCCCCGCCATTTCTAACAGATCTACCAATGTCTCCTGTCGATTTTCACTTAAAGCTTCAATCACAATCTCGAATTTTCTCCATGAATGTAATAGATGATTCGTATATACTTCCAAATTGCAGAGAAATATTGAATTACGAATCGGATTATAGTTGAAAAAATACACAATTTTCACCTCCGGATCGAGAAATGAACTTAATATGAATGATGAAGGATTTTTAGAGGTAAATTGAGGAAAGATCTAAATGAACATGGAGATAGAAAGTCGTTTATGTGGTTGAATTTTATAAAAGGGGTAAAATGAATTGATGATTCCGAATAAGAAACGATTTTTCTTAACTGAAACGTAAATAGAGCAAGAGATGGACCATCTTAAATTGGATTCTGTCGACGGCGAGATAGAAATGGCGTTGTGGACTGCAATATACACACAACATGATTCATCAAATTAGCTTCTCTATCCATTCTCGCTCTCGCTGTGGAAACAAACTAATTTCGAATTAACAAATGAATTACAGTGAAAAATTCAGATTCCGATACCTAATAGGAGCGGGAGCAGGAGAAGGATGTGAAGATGCCTCCATTATCTCCATCTCCGGCGAGAAACTCCGGCGAAAGAAAACCCTACCAGATCCTTCTCTTTGCAACGCAGTCAGGCAATAAGGTTTTACCAGTTCGTCGAGCATCGTGACTTATTTTAAGTAGTTTACAAAAGTAGTTCTTAGGATTAATTAATTGTCATATTTACTCTTTTTTCTTTCTATTTTTCTATAAAGGTCCTTACCATTTTGATTTTTGCCCTTTTATAAATGAGTTATAAATTATAAACACGTCATGGGGATGGAAAGAAAAAAAAATATTCGAACATGAAACTTTTGCAACGGTTTTTGCTCTGCATAATCCTAAATGAGGTATAGAAAAAATCTATAAAAAATATGAGTTTGAGATTGTGATGATATTAAGTTTTTTTCTGTCTAATTATTGATCATGTTATCTTACATGAACCTTTTATATTTTTATAATTTTTATAATTTTGTTATTAATATATACGATTTTTAAAATTATATTTAAATATTATAGGCGATATTATAAATACGAAATTTATTATGTATTTATTGCTTACATCATAATCCATAATATTGACATATAATACTTTCATAATTAAAATTGCAAAGTTGAGACTCACAAGCTCCTAGCATTTCGTACTCGATTATCCAAGTCGAAAGTATGTCGAGTTGATGACACCAGTATTCAACCACCTCTTTAGTCTCGTTCATCTCTCGTCTCACCAATTCTCGAGTCATGATCATCTCTCACCTTTTTACCGTCTAAGAAGTAGTGAAAGTTCCAAATGTTGCAAAGTAGCTAAAGTTGCCAAAGGTTACTACATAATCGAAGTTATCTAATAAAAAGTTGGAACATAAAGACAATTTTTTTTAAAAGTCAAGTAAGAGATTCTTGATCAAGATAATGAGTTCATTACAACACAGAATAGGGCCGATATTCTAAATAGTTTTTTTTAACAACGGCAATAACATTAAAACCAAAGATGCTAGAAAATTATATAGTACCCCAATCAAACTAACATTACCTCGGAAATTTAGCTATATACTTAATCCAATTGAAAAACAAAAAGTTGAATATCATCTGCCGTTCTTATGGATTGCATCTCCACTTTTTAAAAATGATATCATTCCTAGCTTTTCATAAAGACCACAACACTATGTAAGCCAAAAAAAAGAAACAATTATCAGATACAACCGACACAAATGAAGAAAAGCTCACATGGGCAACACCTATAGGTCTCAACCAAGCACAAAACTACTTCTCCGGACAAAACAATTCACTTTCAATGAGATGCAATTAATCCAATTGAAAGAGATCAACGCTTCTGGAGTCAAAATCAACCATGCACATTCCTAATGTGCTAACCGAGAAATATCCATTTGCAGCATCTTTAAAACTCCAAGAACTAAAAGACGAAGTCAAACTTACAATTAGCTTCGGAGAAAAAGGAGAAAGGACATTGACATTTATTTTTAATCTCAAATATGTATTGATAATTACATTGTAAGTGGTATTTCATGTGCAACTCCACAAGTTGATTCGTCTCTCTACCTCTTCTCGGTGGTCTACTCGAGCACCACGTGGCCCCCATGTATTATGTGTTTACTTCTTTAAAATGACACGGAGACAAAAAAAAAAGTCCAAAATTCTATGAAAAGTAAAAAAACAAGAAAAAAAGTTCTCAAATACGACAAAATTATTTTTTGTTAGGTTCTTTTTACCCCTACTTCATTTTCACTTAATCATACTCTTAATGATTGCATTTTATTTTTTTTCTTAAATAATTAAGGAGTTCGACTAAAAAGAAATCTCATTTTACCATATATATATATATATATCCAATTATTCTTACTTTTTAGATAATAATTATCATAGTTATTATTTCACTAGCTTTTATACTTACTTTCCTTATAACCTAATCAATAAAACTTTATTATTTAATAATTATATTTTTATTATTAACTTTAATAATAATAATAATAATAATAATTTGTCTGAATATGATAATATATAACCCTAACAAATATATATGTTTAATTTTTTTTGCCTGAACTGATTTGGAATAACTAACATAATTTATTACTCTCTCCGTCCCAAAATTATTATCCACAGACAAAAAACACACAGATTAAAGAAACATTAATTACCACTAACTTTATACAATAAAATGACACCTTACTTTGCATTTAATGTTCCATTAAATGCTTAGTTGGTTAAACAATAATGAAGGAGTATTTTGGTAAAAATGTTATTTATTTTTAGAAGTGAACTATTATTTTGGGACAAACCAAAAAGAAAAGATAGACTATAATTTTAGGACGGAGAGAGTATATTTTTCAAAATATAAATATTTTAAATTAATAGGTATCCAATCCGAAGATGGCTAGTCGTAAAAAAACCGTTATAAAAACTCACAACTTGTTTCAAAAATATAACTTCAAATTTGATTATTATTATATTAATTATTTATTTTATAAATAGTTAAAACATTATATCTGTCAGAAATGATAATTTTTAATATTATCGCTTAAATTTAACTTTGTATATCAACCATTTCCAATTTCCCATAATTGAACGACATAAGGAAGGCTAAAAGCCAAAATAATATGCCATCCCTTCTCGTTCTTTCCAAACCTTCCTCTCATCTATCTTCATCATTTTCTAGATCCTTCCAATTCTTTCTTTCACTTATCTTCTTCATCATTTTCCAGAGTCTTCAAAAGGCTTCCTCTATTTATCTTCACCTCTTTCTAGATCTTTCTAACCTTTTATTTTATTTTTTGAACAAATTACACGAATGGTCCTTAAGGTTTTGTTTTTTTCCCTAAAGTAGTCCTTACGAAACTTTTTTTCCTTAAATGGTACCTACGGAGCAAACCTTGCACACAAATGATCCTTATGACTAACTTTGTTAACAGATTCTGTTAAGTGTGTGTGAAAAGACGAAAATACCCTTTGTTTTTATTTATTTTTAATATTTTGTTAATTTGAAATTAAAAAAAAAAAGTGGGACTCTCTCTCTCTCTCTCTCTCTCTTTCTAAAAAAAACACACACACATACGCACACCTGATTTGTCTCATTAATGTTCTTCCATGGCTAAACGCTCTTTGCCTTTCCGATCATTCCCCTAGGGTTTCAAAGCGTGATTACTATCACTTAAATATCGATTCGTTGTGGTGTTTCCCCTCTTTCTGTCATCTCCGACCAATAGCTAGCCTCCCCTCCCCATCTGATTTGTCTTCTCGATGACCTATTTGAGAAATTTCAAACCAAAAAAACCCAGATGCAACCATTATTAGAGAAGAACATCTCACATATACATACACACATCACACATGCATACACACACAAAAGACTCTGAAGGAATTTAAATCCAGATCGGATCCTATTTCTGGACTAGTCTCTCAAGCGCCATCGATGGGTGTGGAGAGTTTATGCCTAGCGGATGTATGCTGTTTATTGTTGCATTTAACCCTAGAAGAGCAATCAAAAGGACAAGAGTAAATACTGTTAGTCGATTCTCGAAGGCTGTGACGATGGGATTTCATCTGAGCAAAATCGGAATTTGTTGATCTGATCTGTATCTTGGTGGTGGTGGTGATTGTGTTACTGTTCTTGGCAACAGTAGCGGTAATTTAATGGAAATCTAGTTAGAGATGGCTATGATGATCGGTGTATTCTGAGAAAAAATTGAAACGACATGGATGATCAGATTTGTATCTTGGCGCGGCAATATCACGGATGACATAGTGAAGAGGAAATTGATATTCTCTCACTTTGCAACTGTATGTGTTTGCAGCCATGGCGGACCACCATCTTCTTTGTCTACATTCCCTAATTGCAGATCTGAGCCTAAGTATTTTCATCCTAAATTAATCTTCCCTCTTTTCAAAGTGTTCTAAATTTAGGTTACTGAGTGTCAAATTTCTAGCTAAAACAGGTGGTGGTGATGGAGATCTTTCTTGTACAGGTTTGAACCTTTGATGGAGTAAGGTTAATGGAGGTGGACACAACTGAAGTTAAGGTTCTGGTGGTGGTGCTCCATCAAAAAATGGTACTCTGGTGGTGGTGTTGGGAGGATGTCATTTAGGAGAGAGAGAGAGAGAGAGAGAGAGAGAGAGAGAGAGAGAGAGAGAGAGAGAGAGAGAGAGAGAGGGCCCCACTTTTTTTTAATTTCAAATTAACAAAATATTATAAATAAATAAAAACAAAGGGCATTTTCGTCTTTTCACACACACTTAACAGAATCTGTTAACAAGTTAGTCATAAGAATCATTTGTGTGCAATGTTTGCTCTGTAGGTACTATTTAAGGGAAAAAGGTTTCGTAAGAACTACTTTAGGGAAAAAAGCAAAACCTTAAGGACCATTCGTGTAATTTGTTCCTATTTTTTTCATTTTACTCTCTCCATACTAAACTCCAAATAAAAGTTATGAAAAACATATTTCGTTTTTATTTTTCTTACTCATAAATACTAATAATTCACAAAATATCAGTAAAGTATAAAATCAAAAATGTTTCATATATTATTCGAATAATTGTTTTTTTTTTCAAAAAGTAATATAATTATCAAAACTATTTTACAAAATAAATTATTATTTTATTAAATATTCAAAAAAACTATCACCTTCTACTACACATTCAACATAAATATATTTATTCAAGATTGAAGTACACTCTTTATTATTCGTTCAATTTCTAAGTATTTTTTTAACATACTTTAAAAGTATTTTAAATGTTAATTTCTCTTAGACAAATTAAATATCCTCGTATATTTTTTTCCTACTTATCTTCCTACACACATGAAATTGTGACAAGTGTTATATTTAAATAAAACTAATGATATTTTAGGACACTTGTCATTATATCAAATGGGTAGGAAAATAATTAGGTATTCCTTAAAAACGAAAATTTATTTTGCGACGCTTGGCACAATTTTGTGAATTTGTTCACAAAATTTTCAGCTTCCACACTCGTAAAGTAGCAGCAGGGATTCGTTGTTCGTTGACGTCTGCGAATAAGAGCATCTTCATTCTCCAATAGCCATTGAAGGTAACCTCCATTTTTTTCTATTCTCCGTTTTCAATTTTAAATCGAAATTTATTGTTTTCATTCCTAATCAGAATCTTCTACATTCAAAACTGTAATTTAAATCCAACT